ATAAAAATTGTGAATCTCATAAAATGTGTAATTAAAAATGAATTTTAGAAAATGAGGATCAAACAAGGACCCACATTATTTTTATTACAATGCATTTTTGAATAGCGTGTTGATGGAAAATGTGAGGTTAAAAAATAAGGAAAAATTTCAAATTTACATATAATATTATTTTATTGAATAATGTATGATTGAAATGATATCAAATCACTGTTTGATTTTTTATTTTATTTATTTTATTTTTTGTAAAGAATGTGAGTCAAACAAGGTGTAAATATATACTAAGATTTCTTAATTTGCATATGGCGAGAGCGTTCTCGATGAATTATAACCAGAAGCATTTTGTTTTGAGAGGTCCACATGTGATACGATGAAATATTAAGTATTTGTTTGAACCCCATTCTTTTCATAAGAATGAATTTTTGAATAGTGTATTGATGAAAAATGTATGGTTAAAAAATAAAAAAATAAAAATTTTGAATTTGCATATAATATAATTTTATTGAAGAATGTGTGATGAAAAGATGTCAAAACACTGTTTAAGAATGTATAATTTAGAAAAATGAAAAACTTAGACGCTAGAAATAAGCTTTTCTTAAAGAAAAATAAGATGATATCTTTTGCATTTGTTCATCGTTTTCATAAATGGGTTCAATCAAATCTCTTTTTAACAATTGAAAAACCTCCTTTTTAATTTACTTTAGATAAAATGTTTATTCAAAGAGTAAACAAGTGTCACCCTTAGAAAGATGAAATATACATGTTCAAACCTCAACAAAATATAAATATAAATAAACACATTTGTATCTTAAATCTTATATAGGTATTATTCAACAACAATGATATGAAATAACTTATCGCTTATATCCATGTTGCCATGTTCAGGAGAAAGAACACAATGAACAAAGAATTTGTAAAGGAAAATCCAAAAGTACATGCTCTCCATTAGTTGGACATCCATTTTACTTTAGATCACAGAAGATAAGGATCTGGCAAATAATGAAAGCCGAAATATGTAGGTGACGTAATTCTTGATCAATGGACAGTGTAGGGGTCGAGGCCAAGCAAAGAAAGAATTAGCGTTCGAATTTATAGCAGAAACAACCAGTTTGACATGATGATCACTTAACAAGGAGATGAACAAAACAAATTCACACGAGTTAACCATAATGGTTTCTTAAAGACTCTGGTCGAGATTCGACTAGGCCTTCATTGCAAATATGCCTTCAAATGACTGAGATAGATTGTAGACAATATCAACACAAGGTTAAGAGTAGAGAAGGTTAAACATATGCAAGAAAATAAGCTCGAGATCAAGAGTGAATATCTCACATTTCATTGCTCTTTTGAGAAGTTTTTACAGCAAAGATTCTCTCTAACAAGATAACAAGGAAATAATTATACACGAAAGACAAAAAAGGGAAATAAGGATGCTTTTTCATGATCGAATCAAAGTTTCAAGAGTATACAAGATCTATCTGAGAAATGTTAACCTTTTTTGCTGAATCAAAACCAGAGCGTAATGCTTCCCGAGCTAACCATATGCTTGGCTTGATTTCAATCAATTCTCCATTTCCAACTTTACTCCTCTTTTGAATAGAGAATCTAATCCATTCGACCAATTTGAATCAGTCAGAATTCGAATATTTATGACATATTTTGACACCTTAACGCCAAGCAAAAATCGAAGATCCATATTTCTATAACTGAGATCGATCATCAATCATACTTTTCTCTCCATGAATACACAAGAAAGAAAACCCAAGAAATTCCCAATGCAATATCCCCAACTACAAGCCTAAGCCAATCGCGGCCTAGATCTTCGACCTTCCTTTCAAAGTAGATTCTCCAAATAGCCATTGCTACATGGAGAAGGACACAGCCCTTGGCAAAGAAGCTATGAAATTCTCTGTCCTTCACAAATGCCACCATGAACAAGAGAAACCCAATGGCAAACAAAAGCAAACCCGAAAACGAGTCTGATGTTCGGATTAACAGCTGATCATGGGGTGTTGAACCCATAAGCTTGCTGGCATGTTCTTTACCATGACTAAAAACAAACACCTCATTGCTATAAAACATCATTAGAGCTCCACAGGCTAAGGCCATCAAAGAATGGAGCATACATATAAGAAAAAACCCAGGTGACACCATTGACCATTCAAAATAATGCTGCTAAAATTTTAAGGTTACACCCTCCAACTACAGAAAAATACCCTTAATCAAATTTTGTAACAAATCAATTTAACTCAAGAAAAATACACTAATTAACAAAAACCCACAAGATATTTCCTTCAGAAAAACAACAATTAATTACCTATATCACATCCCCCGTGTA